TCAAGGAGATGGATTGGCCAAGTGGCAGCATCGATGAACTCAAGCGTGGCAACAGTAGTGAGGTTGGCCCAGGATCGGGCAGGGCAGTGTTTCTTTCTACTGTGCAAAAGGTTGCTATGGGTCGGTACCGACTCAATGGCACCTAACAACAACAACAACAACAACAACAACAACAGGGTATTAATGCTTTCAACAGCTAGCATGAGTTACCCTTGCCATCTCTACCTCCCGGTGCCCCACAGAGTAGCATGTGTTTATGGTTTTGGCTTTTGTATTTTGAAAGCAGATCATCTTCAGATGTGGCCTTCGGACCCAGTGTGCTTTGTTTGTTTCTTCTTGAGTTTTCTTTGCTGTTTGTGAGTTCTGTTTCTGGCCTCCAGTAGAATTTCTGCTCTTGGAGCAGACTAACCATCAAAATTGCCAGCCACCCTCAGCAAGGCGGCTTTAGAGTAAGTCCTGACCAGGAAAAGCAGGGAGGCCCTGTTGGTTCAGGGGCAGAATCCTTGGTTTCCATACAAGAGAGATTCAGATTTGATTCCTAGCCAGTGCACCTCATGTCAGTGAAGGATTGTGCATGTGTGTTTGGGACAGTTTTCAGCATAGCTTCCAGACCAAGACTAGGAAGAAAGACCTGGATCTCTTTCTAATACAGTGGAACAAGTAGATATATGCACACCAGTGTTCACAGCAGCACTATTTACAATAGCAAAAAGATGGAGACAGCCAAAGTGCCCATCATCTGAAGACTGGATAAACAAACTGTGGTACATACACACAGTGGAATACTATGCTACCTTGAAGAATAACAAGGAAGCTAGAAGCCACCGCATAACATGGATGAACCTTGAGGACCTTATGCTGAGTGAAATTAGTCAGTCACAAAAGGAGAAATATTGCATAGGACTAATTTGTAAAAGACTAAAGAAAAGAACCCACACTGAAGTGGGGAGGATTCTTTGCTGGTTACTGGGATGTTGGGGGTGGGGTGAAGGGAAGGTGGAGCACAGGGTAGGGAATAGACACAGGATAGTTTGGGTGCTGGGGAGGGTGGCAGTACACAAAAAGGGGGAGGGGAGTAAAAAAGAAAAAAAAATGTAAAACACACACACACAATGGATCACAGCTGTCCAATCCCATTGTATGTGGAGTTACCTTGAGTTGGGGACCAACTTGGTAACTGCTAGTAACAACAACCGGCAGGCAGAGCTGGAGTTGCCGGGTCGCCATGACACGCTGTGGTTCTGTTTCCAGTAGGCGCCCTGCTGCACCACCGTAGACCAGGCCGGGGACCTGTGCCCGCCTGGGTGTTTCCCACCCATCGAAGCTCAGAGTCCTGGTTGGTCCTCAGGTTCCCACCTCACGTACATTTCTCAGCTTCCAAACCTCTTGGCTCTCGGAGCTGGGCATCTGATGATTTGAGGCTGGAGTGCTACTTCCCTGTCCACATTGTTTCTTTTCTTCAGATGTGCATCTGTTTCCTTTCCCAATTACAGAAATTGCTCTCTAATTCATTTGGTTTTAAGAGGTACCTCAAACCCAACTTACTCTTTACCTCTTTGCCTGACTCCTAAAACCAAAATAACCAAGCCAGTTTCTGGTGCTAGTTTGACTCCTGGCGTGCCTGTATGTTGACTCCTGGCGTGCCTGTATGCGTTGCTGCAGAACTGTGCTCCATAGATCTCCAGGTCTTTCTTCCTAGTGTGTCTCAGTCAAGAAGCTCCACTGACAAACAAGGATTGCAGTTGCATATGAGGCGCATTGACTGGGTCTAAGGAGACTTCTTCTCCCATGGAACCCCCACGGCCCACCCCTGGCTACTATGGTGCAGTTAGCATTCTGCTTTCCTTACATTTCTGCCACAATTAATTAATTACACTGAACAGTCAAACACTTGCAAAGGATCCCATTCACTAGCTTCTAAGTAGTTAGATAGAGGATTGAGGGGTTCTAAGGAGCCCTGCTAACACAGTGTGTTCAGCATTAGGCCGCTGTCCACAAGATTACAGTTCAAATCTACTAGACGCTCTTTGGGAGAAAGATGAAGCTGTCTGTTTGTTCCCCTGAGGATTTAGTCTTGGAATTCCTGTCTAGCTGTGGGTCCCCTCCCTGTCCTATGGGGTTGCTCTGAGTCGGAATCAACTCCGTGGCAGTGGGCTCTGGGATAGGAGGGACTCAAGGAGCCCCGGTGGCACAGTGGTTGAGCGCTTGGCTGCTAACCAAGAAGTCAATGGTGTGACTCCACCATCCACTCAACAGGTGTGTATTCCTGTGAAGACCCCAAACCTACTGCCACTGAATAGTTTCCAACTCATAGTGAGCCTCCCAGGTAGAGGAAAAGCGGTCCATAGGGCGTGCGAGGGGCACCCTTTACAGAAGCACACAGCCTCATCTCTCCCCCAGAGCAACTGGTGGATTCGAACCGGTTGACCTTTTAGTTAGCAGACCAACACTTATCCATGGCATCACCAAGACTCCTTCCTATAAAGATCGCAGCTTAGAAAACCCTATAGGGGCGGTTTTCCTGTAGTCTGTGCTGTTGTTATTGTTAGGTGCTGTCAAGTCACTTCTGACCCACTGCAACCCCGTGAAGGGTTTCCAAGGAGCGGCTGGTGGGTTTGAACCGCCATCCTTGCATCACACCAGGACTCCTGTGTCCTGTGGGGTCATTGTAAGTGAGAATGGGCCCAATGGCACGTGAAGACACGAGGGGCTCAAAGGAGTCCCCGAGTGGCACAGAGAGTTAAGCACTCACTTTACAGTCATAAGATTGATATATTCAAACCACCCAGAGGAGCCTTGGAATACAGACCTGGTGATCTTATTCTGAAAGGGCTCAATGACACCTATCAACAACAGAGAGAGAGGTTCAGGGCATGGCTAGAGAAACCAAAATGCCAGATAGTCTGTTTCCTATGTTGTTAGCCATGGCCGTGAACCATGCCCCCTTGTTAGAGTTCTGTGGAAACATGAACCCAGGTGGCTTCTCATCCCAGGCAGAATCAGCAGATAAGATGAACCACTGATACCTTCTTAGTGAGCCATTCTTTCCAGCACCTGACATTTCATTCCCAATTCTCAGGAATCCCATCCACAGCAGTACATGGAGTCAGAGAGAAATTTACTTTGGAGAGGTATCCAAAAGAAAATTTTCCCTCTCTGTCACTTTATTGTGCTTTCCTGGAACTGAACGCCCTCTGGAAAGTTTTGCACAAAGAAATCCTGTTTTTCCTTCCAGGACCTTCAGAGTAGGTTGCTCCCAATGTAAAGGTTAATGATGCCTAAAATAAATGCCACCGAAATGAGCGATATTTGCCTTCATGTAAAATACTTTAAATAGCACAGCAGGGCTGAGCCGGTGACCCGAACGCCCAGCAAAAGGCTTGTTTAGTTCTGGTTCACGCAAAGGTGACTCTGACCGTGAGCTAAGAGACTTTGCTTCCCTTTCACCCCATCCCTCAGACCCAACTCGTTCGTGATCATCACAGCCAACCGCGTCCTTCATTGCAACGCGGACACGCCGGAGGAGATGCACCACTGGATTGCACTGCTGCAACGGTCCAAGGGAGACACCAGGGTCGAGGGCCAGGAGTTCATCGTCCGAGGTGAAGCCCGCTCCTGCTTTGTGTTTCTGTGGCCCTTAAACTAGAGCTAACCGCACAGCTGTCCCCTGTCCTTGCCTTGCTCTTCACCAAGCCCTGTTCTCACTCTTCGTCCATTGATTGATGCTGCCTTCCCACCTCGAGCATCTTTTCTGTGTAGCTGCTTCTCGAAGTGTGGTGCTGTGTGGTCTTTCTAATTATGGTTTAGGAAAGGGAGTCTCTAGGTGATACAAGCCATTCAGCATCTTGACAACTCACCTGGAGGTTGGAGGTTCAAATTCATCCAGTGGCACCTTGGAAGACCAGCCTGGCGATCTCCTTCTAAAATGAAAAGCCTATGGAACAGTTCTGCTCTCAGACAGGCTCCACTCAGCAGAAACTAACTACTGTCACAGCATGATCACTTCTGGCAACTGTAGAAACATCCCTCACTTATATGTGCTATGAAAGTGATGACTTGGTATTTGGGTTTCCCCTAATAGTGGGTTTTTTTTTTCCGCTTGTTTTGCTTTGTTTTATTGTGCTAAAAAGATAACAGAACATCTACTGTTTCAGTAGATCTCGGGCTTACATTTGAGTGGCACCCTTGCTTCTGTTGTCTCTGGCAATCTTGTAAGTTTTCACATTGCTCTCTCGCCTTCCCTGCACAGGCTGGCTGCACAAAGAAGTCAAGAACAACCCGAAGATGTCTTCGCTGAAGTTGAAGAAGCGCTGGTTTGTGCTAACCCACAATTCCTTGGATTACTACAAGAGCTCAGAGAAGAACGCAGTGAAATTGGGCACCTTGGTCCTCAACAGCCTCTGCTCGGTTGTCCCCCCAGACGAGAAGATATTCAAGGAGACAGGTAGTGTGCTCATGAATGGCCAGGCCCGAAACAGAGCGTCTGAGCTGGGGGTGCCCCGAACGGTGCTCTGTTTTTTCTCATTGATTTTCAGAGGCTGTCTGTGGTTAGCTATGTTGTTGTTAAGTACCTTCAAGTCGGTTCCAACTCACAGTGACCCTTTAGAGGGTTACCGAGGTTTTAAATCTTCACAGGAGCGGATCACCTCATCTTTCTCCCAAGGAGTGGCTGGCAGGCTCAGACAGTGAACCTTGTTGTTTGCAATCCAGTGCTTATGGTATGGAGCTACCATGGTCCTGTGGTTAGTGATACAAACCCAAAAAGCCAAAACCCACTGCTATCAAGACAGTTCCGACTCTACGTAGAATTTCCCAGACTATAAATCTTTCCCGTAGCAGCTAGTTTCATCTTTCTCCAGTGAAGCAGCTGTTGGGTTTGAACCCCAACGCATAACTCACAGCTATATGAACACTTTGTATTTAAGCCATAGTAAAGAATTCTGGTGTGGTGCTGTAGGATAAAGCAGTGGACCACAAGGTCAGTTTGAACTGCCAGGTTAACAGTTCAAACCCACCAGTCGTTTCTCAGAAACCCTATACAGATTCACAATGAGTCAGAATTGACTCCGCAGCACACAACATGGACAACAAAGAGTTCTTGAGCCCTGGTGTGGTGCTGTAGGATAAGCACTAGACTGGTAGCTGGAAGGTTGGTAGTTCAAACCCACCAGCCGCTTTCATAGAGTCACTATGAGTCGGAACCAACTCGATAGTCAGCAGACAACGGAGAGGTCTTGCAGACGACCTGGTGGCACAATGGTCAAAGTGCTTGACTGCTAACTGGTGAGTGGGTGGCTCGAACCCACCAGCAGTTCCATGGGAGGGAAGACATGGTGATTTGCTCTCATAAATAGTACATTGCACGGGGTCACTAAGGGCACAGGACAGTGACAATGTTTTGCATATACACACAACACACAGATTGAAAAGATAATGCCAACTGTCTGTGACCCTAGCAGAAGACAAAGCATAGGCATTGATCAAGTTTAATTTTGTTTTTTCTGTTTTGGTGTAATAATGATATTTTTAGAAGGTGGGCTTACAGTTGCTAGTTATACTTTTGTGCCTTTTTTTTTTTTTTTAATTAATGAGAAGAAACAGAAAGTCATGAGTCCAGACAGAAATCGGAGGGAATAGGTACCACTTTGCTTGCAGAGCCTGTTCTTTTGTTGGGTCACAAATAGTTAACACACTTAGCTGCTAACTGAAAGATTGGAGAGTCAAGTCCTCCCAGAGCACCTTGGAATAAAGGGCTGGCATTTACCTGTCAGAATTTAGCCCTTGAAAACCCTGTGGAGCTCAGAGCTACTCTGATGTACACGGGGTCCTCTTGAGTCCACTTGAGAGATACTGGTTTGGCTCTTTCCGAGTGAATATAGAATTTGAGTGTTTAATTCTGCATCTGTCATCGTCCCTGCTTAGGTATAAACTTCACAGGTAGGCTGGATGGATAATGTAGCATTATTCTATCAAGTATTGATGGGCATCAGTACCTGACTCAGTACCTGGCTGGGGCTCAGGTGGCAGGAACGTAGACCCCTGATGATGCTGAATTTCTGTTCTTCGGGAGCTAGAGGTCCACATTAATGTGTGTACCGTGCTTCCCCCGCCGCAGGCTACTGGAACGTCACAGTGTATGGCCGCAAGCACTGTTACCGCCTCTACACCAAGCTGCTGAACGAAGCTACCAGGTGGTCAAGTGCCATTCAAAATGTGACCGACACCAAGGCCCCGATCGACACCCCCACCCAACAGCTGATCCAAGACATCAAGGTGAGAGGGAACCCCATTCCCTGGGTCACCGAGTCCCTCACCCTGAGATGTTCAGACCTTATATCCAGCTCAAGTTTTACTCTGTCACCAAAATCAATGAATCAATCAACGGTCAGATATCAGACTGCTTAAATACAGTGCCCACGGTTCCATAGGAAGCCTCTCAAGGATTCATGAGGTGCTCGAATTAAGAGTCCTCATGCTCCAGAAACATCCCTGTTGGAATTAAGAGGCCGCCGTGGATCAGGGGGAGACTTATAGCTTACATCGAGCTCATCTATTGGGTCCTGGTTCAGTTTCCATGCATGCATCTCTGTTTTGAAAAATCTGAAGTCTAAGGGTTTAGGTGGAAAAAAATTATTTTTTAAATTACAGAAATGTAGAAGGTAGTAC